ATGTGCGTGTGTGTGTGCATGTGTGTGTGTATGTGTGTGCATGCGCATGTGTACACGTGTGTGTATGTGTGTTGATTATGTGAAGCATCTTGGCTGGAAAAAAGGTAGCGAAGGACCTTCCGTTTAGTTAAAACGTTTTAAAACATCTTACATTAACATCCACACTCCGCTTGCCATAAACATAGTGACTCATACCAAAGGACATTTTTTGGGGAATAAAAAATAATGTGAATGATAGTTTTCTGCGTTTCCGCATGCAGGGTGAGGAGTGAGAGTGTTTAGGGGGGCTGCTGATGTCCCACAGGACAGTGGTGCCACATCACAGAACAACAGGTTCATGTCTTATAGACTGGAGCTGCTGGTAATTCTGGCCCCTTCTGGGGCCACAGAGGACGGACTTGGGATTGTGTCCGATTCATGAATATCGGTTCCTGAGCTACACGTCTCTGTCCCAGGATGACAGGCGCCATTCAAGGAACAGCCCTTATGGGGCAGCAAACTATCGCAGAGTGCACTCGCCCACCATTCTCGCACACCATTCTCACACACTCGCACACCATTCTAACACACTCACACACCATTCTCACACACTCGCCCACCATTCTCACACACTCGCACACCATTCTCACACACTCGCACACCATTCTTACACACGATTCACACCTACGGGCAATGTAGTGATGCCAGAGAGCTTAAGCATGTTTTTGGACTGTGGGGGGGGGGGACACATGGCGACCTGGGAAGAACATGCAAACTCCGTACGTGGAGCCCTGGCAGGGGCTGAAACGCTGGTCCCAGAGGTGTGAGGCAACAGTGCTGACCACTGCAGTACCAGCATGAAGATCATTTCAACTTAATTTTCTTTGACTGCCTAAGACTTGTGTACAGTGCTGTATATGAGCTGGGGTTTGCATCAGTGCTGCTATGGAGGCTGCAAACAGCCGCTTTGCAGGGCAGCTGGAGCCCGTTCAGTGGGAGAGACTCTGCTGTGCTGCCTGAGGTGGTGGAATCAGGCAGCCCCTCAGCATACTGTACTACAAATTGAATAAAAGCACAAAAAAATAACGGGATAAAAATAAATAGTGGCTCTCTTGACATGGGCTACTGAAGCATGTCAAGGAAATCGATTCGCTGGAAACCTGCAATTTTCTTCATGGTTTACAGGATTTGCGGCGATTTGCAGAAAGCGAAGCACACACACACACACACACACACACACGTGCCCCTTCACTGGGGCGGCCGAGGAGCTCCGCAGGGCTGCATTGCTAACAGTCCCTCCCTAATGTCAGCCATGCAGAGCGGCGCCCCCGGTGGCCGCCGGACGCTTCTTCAGCACCGATGGCTAATTAAGAGCTGAGTTTGGCAAACCCCACCTTCTAGCTCCTCCCCCCTCCAGCCCCTCCAGCACTCCCTCTCCCAGCCACAGCACCACATCCCCCCCCCCCACCAAAAAAATCTCACATCTGGTTTTGTGTGCAAGGCCAGGTCTCCCCTGGAATTAAGGGCTTTTGTTTCCAAGCCGTTTCACTCCTCCAGTAACTCTGAGCTGTAATGAAGACGGCGTTTGCTTATTTAAAGGGCCGCTCCCCCCTCTCCCCTATACCACATCCAGGCTCAGGACAATGCTCCTTTTTTCCTGAGCAGCTTCTGAAGCCTATTTCCTCAGTGGTCACAGAGAGTATGGAATCACCCACTGCCCCCCGAATCTCGACTGGGAGCCAGGCTGCCTGAGCCGTGCCTGTTACCCGCAGCCTCCCAGTACCCAGTAGATTCTTCCAGCAGCCTGTTATGGAACCTTCACACCCTCCCTCAGCTTCAAAGTTTGCTATAAAAAAAAAAAAAAAAACCCGGGCAGGAATATCGCCCATTTGGATGTCAGCTCCATGTACCCTCCAGTATGTTTCAAGGGTGCAGCCAGTGGTGCCTCAGTTTGCAAAGCATTGTGGGATATTATATATGAGCCACTGACCTGCAGGCAAACAGGCCTCATTCACAGCATCTTCCACAGCCACACTGCACCGCCAGTGTAACTGACTGACATCATATCCTGGATTTTCTTCAGCTAATTGTCTGGGTGACACTCTCTTCCTGTCAGACCCTCTTCTGAGGCTATGGTAACGTTAAGCAGCATGGGGGCACCATCACCCCCCCCCCCTCACTGTAAACACTGCTATTGGCTGCTCTTGTTCTTGTGCAACAAAACACTGTCATAAAAAGTAAAAGCAAATAAAAACCGGCCGATAATGATAATGAAAGAAAATGTCCCATAGAGCTTAATGGAGGCTGACTCCTGCTAAGCAGATTTCATCATACGCCGTAACGAAAAGGAAATGTGGACTTAAAGGGACGGAAGGCTTAGTGGAAGATCCCGTCCCAGTTATGCCTTTAAGGGAGCAATTGTCAATATCTTTAGCAGCTGTAAGGCTCTTTGGAGCGGGAATAAAAAGTTCACAGCTCAGGTCATGTTCATTTGTAAGAATTCATAAACAGCACTTCCATTTGACATTGTGATGACGCCACAATGCAGAGACCCACAGTGTCCAAAGACGCTCATTTGCAGCATGATTGAAGTCTGTTGTACCTTTATATTCCTGCAAGATTGGGCAAAAAAGTGACTATTCTTGTTGGGGGGGGGGGGGTCAGCCCGGCCCCGCCCCCCAGGGATGGAGCCCCCTTGCTTGTCCTCCCAGATCAGCATGTTGCCCGGGCAGGATGTCAGGTGAGAGGAAGTGAGGGGGAACAAAGCAGGGCTGTGTTCTGGAGCACTGGCGGGTTGGGGGATGGGGGGAGGGTTCATGTCACTGGGCCTCCCCCCCCCCACTAGTAACCTTACGCCACATGAAAGGCAGGCAGGCAGGCGGCTGGAGGCTGCGGAGGCGCCTTGGCAGTGTGGCCCCATGGAGCCCGGATGCCGTCAACATGCCACCCTCCCCTGGCCCTTTGTTCTTCGCTCGTCTGTCAGGGAGCCCCCTGACCCCCCATTTGTTTACCTGAGGATTGCGACGCATCAAATGCCTTTTTTTTTTTTGCAGTTACGATGTTTTTATTACTGTCTTGCTGCTACAGATCTGGAAGCATAAAAGTTTTTGCTGACTGCGGGACCTCGTGTGATTTGCTTGTTTCTTGATGTTGGTGACCCCCCCCTCCCAGGGCCGCCGGTGTTTTCCTTCTGCATGTTCTGACCTTTGGATGCTGTCGTGCATTTTTTTTCTTCCTTTAAGCGATAAGGGGCGGAGATAAAGCCCTCGGCTGATGCCCAGGAACTCTTGTGGTGAGCAGATCCGGAGCAGATATCCACTGTCTGGTGGGAGATTTGGGCGACACGGTCGTGTAGGGGGCTGCGGTTTGGGTGGGGGGACACAGGTGTGTGGCTTCAAATCAAGGAAACACACGTGGCTTATTAACAACAACAAAACAAAGGAAATGATGCTCTCAGACTGGGCTCTTTAAGCTGCGGCCATAATGGCTCTTAGGTAATGAAACATTAAGCTCATTAAGCCGGTGGAATGTGCGTTTGGACTCCCTGGAACAGCCCTGCGGCTGGTGTGGTTTATAGGCAGGGGAGCACACGTGACCCAGCCCTCTGGGTTTATGGTGTGGGGGGGCACAGAGCTGGCAGCCATGCCCGCCGCCCGTGTGATGGGCAGACCTGCTCTGCCCACGGACTCGTTGGCCCGGGCCCCCCCTCCAGCTGATGGTGGGGGTGTCGATAACTCACACGCCACCCACCGAGAGGGACCCGCAGGTGCACTCTTGCTCACTCTCTCACGGCATACAGATGCTGGCCGAGCCTCGGGTTTCGGATGGGGAGAGACGGCACGGACAGATGCCGTCCTGTAGGGGGCGCGTTTGGGCCGTAACGCTGATCTGTAGTGAGTCCAGTGGATGTGGATCTGCTGGCTTGGTGCCGGGGTCTCTTCACCCCACAGGTGCAGACTGCGAAACGTAACCCCCGGCTTTTGCTCAGAATCCACGCAGATCCCAGCTCAGGTGCTGCTTGGACCACTGCCTGTGGGGTCCTGACTCTGAAACTTGTTCACTACTGATTCTTCCTGGCGCCCTGGCCTCACTGCTGACTCACACGCACCAGGCCTTGCTCTCCGCTGGTGGCCGGGGTCGAGTATCTCCCCAAAGTCTCTCCAAGCAGGAAGTATCACTTCTCCAGTAACTGGCCTTCCAGGTCCCAGTGTTGTTGTTACACTGGAAAGAGGAAAGGGAGGGAACTCAGGGACACAGTAGGTCAGGTATTTGGGTGCCTTCAAAGTCAGGCTTCTCTATTTTGCTTTCATCAATCACTAAACCCTTGAGAGGCCATGCAAAGGATCATGGGACTTCCCACAGGCGAGCTGATAATAAAACGATTTGCATAAGCAAGTGGGGTATGCTGGAAGCCAGAATTGTAATTTACTCAGCATATGTCTGTAGTTTTGGCCAAGGGGCTATATACATTTAAGACAATAATTTTAGCATTCAGTATTATAGTACAAAGCACTAAATTAAAGCTGAGTGTTTGAGGAACCACATTATCTTAATAGCAGTAGCAGTGGGAGTTATGGTAGCCGGACAGTAGAAGTTTTGTTTCGTAATAGTTGTAATATCCTGTAGTTATAATAATTGTTGCCGTGGCACCGCTACTTGTAGGAGCTGTTGTGTGTTAGTGGGTGCAGTAATGGTAGTTGGTGTGTGGTGTTGGTGGTGCTTGTGATCTCAGAGCCTCTTTGTGAGAGTCCGTTATGGAGACATAATGATCCACAGAGACTGATAGGGAGCATATGGCAGTCTTGGATGTCTGTCGAAGCTGGAGCTCACTTTAAAGCTTTGGCTGCAGCAGTGATCTTTTGACCCAGACAGTGCACTGCAGATGTTCAAAGCCTCCCGGTCCCCTCATCTCCCGGCCCACTCGGGGCAAAGTGCCTTCCCTGTAACTGTTTGTTTATTCTGCTTCTCTCTCTCTCTCTCTCTCTCTCTCTCTCAAAAACACACACTTGCTCTCTTTCCAGGATCTAAGCAAACAGCTGAGGGATGGGGGGCAGTTTGCAGGCCATGACTGTCCCCTAGAGGGTAAGTACAAACCTGTAGCTTCCGATTTCGGGGAGCAGTCGGATTGTTGTTTTGTTGTGAAATCCTATATTAGTTTCTCAGACCTTCTCTGCTCTTTCAGTTATACGAGTTTTGTATCTTCTTCTCAATTTACATATGTATTTGTATAAACTACATCACCCTGGTACAGATCTGTGTGTGAACCAGCAGAGATGAATCTCGATGTGGTTCACAGTGGCGTTGCGGCCGGAGAAAGGGGAGAGGAGTGACAGCTACCCACCGTACCTCCATTCAGATGACGGAGGACGCCACCCACCACGGGACCTGAGCAAATGTTCTGTGAAAAAGGGCACCAACTTGGATGTAAGAGCATTACTACCATCCCAGCTGTCAAATAATGACACAGGAACGCTTGGCAAATTTCTCAAATGTCCAACACTATAGGCAATTTAGAGACACCATTAGCCTAACCGCAGGTCTTTGGACTGTGGGGGGAGACTGGAGTACCCAGGGACATGGGGAGAACAAAGAGACTCCACAGACACAGATTCGAACCCCAGACTCTGGGGGTGTGAGGCCCCTTCGCCTCCCCTCCATCCTACTCAGTCAGACTGAGACGTGCATTTTTGTCTCACAACAAAAGAAAAACTAATTGGTGAATATAAGAGGAAGACTCTGGAGTCAGTGTGTCAGGCATTAAAGTTACGCAGCGTGACGCTGCTCTCGGGTGTGCTGCCATTGGAAGTGTGTCACAGGGGAATGCGTCTCTCCCGTTTCCATGGCAACAGGAAACGGAGTACGACGCCGTGTTGGAGGACGACAGTCGGCAGGAGTGGGTTTTCACCCTCTATGACTTTGACAACAGCGGCAGAGTTACCAAAGAGGTGATGAGTCGGCTTTAAGCGGGTTGACAGAACAAAAGAGAGTCTGAGCGGAATGGCTGGTCCGCTAGAAGCCTGATGTCAGCCTGATACGTGCCTGTGTGTCTGCGTCTGCATGTCTGTGTTTCTGTGTGTCTGCGAGTGCGTCCGTGTGTCTGCATGTGCATCCGTGTGTCTGCGTGTCCGTGTCTCTGTGAGTCTGCATGTGTGTCCATGCGCTTGTGCTTGTGCCTGCAGGACATGTCCAGCCTGATGCACACCATCTACGACGTGGTGGACGCCTCCCTCAGCCACCCGCCCAGCAGCCACTGCAAGACGCTGCGCGTGAAGCTGACCGTGACCCCCTCGCCCGGCGTCCGCCGCAGGGAGCCCTGCAGCACCGGCACAGGTCCGCAGTGCACAGCGCTGCCACTGGCTCACACTGCTCTGCATGCGGTGGGGGGGGGGGCAACTCTGTCTTCAGCATGAGAGACTGGGGTTCAAGTCCCGCCACAGAGTGCCTACAGACAGCAAACGCCAATGTACACCTACTGCATATATCCAGATGTTCATTATACACCCCTCCATTGCTCATTGCTGCACTCACTCTTCACTCTTTGTAATATGCTAACTTTGCATTATGATGTCACACCTTTTTCATGTCAGTCATCATGTTATGGATAAACGGGACCAGAAGCTACTGTACAAGTCAAAGTTTATACCCTATAGAGTAAAAACTGAGCATTGGTATAAATAAGGAGGGGATGGGGGGTTGTAACCCCCAAATGATCAAAACTGGCCAGTACAACCCCCTAGCCAGGATGGAGACCTCAACCCCCCCCCCAGTATTCAACCCAAAGTTAAGCCCTTGAGGCAGAGTAATGTCACTCTCTGTTATTATGGAATAAGTAACATCATCATGTGATGAAGGAACATCCGTTAATCATTGGAGCGTGGTGGTTCCCCGCTGCCTTTGGGATCTCTCTGCTCTCCCTCACTGACTTCAGCACCCCCCCCACCCCCCCTTAGATGGAGACGTGGGGCGCTGTCGAGCTGAGGACCACCTGGACAGCGGACGCTGCTCCGACCGCCGGCACTCGGCCTTCTTCAGGTCAGCAGGAGTTTCTGCGGTCGTCACTGGGTTCAGCTCTTGCTCTACTGATTACTGCATCAGTCAGAATCCTGTTGGCGTGTTGGAATATTCATGCTCTCTCAGAGGGAGCTGAACTCGCAGGCAGAGCCGTCAATGGCCTGCATAATGTCATGTGATGCCTGGATCATGTGTGGATGTTGCCCCTTAGCTCATCATTTGCGTACATGTCTATGTTTCACCAAAATTCAATGGAAAAACCACTGGCTTTTGGGTGAAATTCTTTATGATATGCACACTCACTGCCTCTGGTGATTGCAGACACACACTCACTGCCTCTGGTGACTGCAGACACACACTCACTGCCTCTGGTGACTGCAGACGCACACTCACTGCCTCTGCTCATTGCAGACGGACACTCACTGCCTCTGCTCATTGCAGACGGACACTCACTGCCTCTGCTCATTGCAGACGGACACTCACTGCCTCTGCTCATTGCAGACGGACACTCACTGCCTCTGCTGATTGCAGGGGTCACAGTGTCGACTCGCCCGTGAGCCCGGAAGGGAAGCACTACTGCGTGGATGAGAACACTGAGAGGAGGAACCACTACCTGGACCTGGCTGGGATAGAGAACTACACCTCCAGGTTTGAAGGAGGTAAGCCAGCCGTGGCCTGTGATGCCCATTAGTCTGGCAGAGGAAACTCCAAGTGACTCTGGATTTTTATAAAGAATCAATATTTGATCCAGTGCTTTGCATGTGTGCTGTACTAGAAGATGAAAAATAACATTTTATGGACAGACTGACGCTCCTGCGAATGTCTGATGGTGTGTAAGTAGATGCTAAAGTGGAGCTCATGTATGCAGTGGAAGTGGAGAAAGGAGGAAAGATGTGTTGGGCCCAATTATGTGATCACCAGCCCTCCCCCCACAGAGACCCCTCACCCACAGACCCAGCAGGAGCAGCACGGGCAGCCCCCTCATCCTGCCCCCCAGCGCCGCTCACACCTCCTAGGCGACAGCTGCCCCAGCGCGGAGCCCCAGAGGGGCCTGGCCCAGTTCCTGCGGTCACCCAGGGGGAGCTCCAAATCGACCGGCGGGGGGGGGCGACCAGCCAGGTGCCACAGTCACCACGGGCCACAGGGGGGCGGCCCAGCCCCCAGGCACCACTCCCCCCAGCGGCCGCAGCCTCACCCCCTGCAGCACAGCCACAGCCGGAGGCTCCGCGCCAGGGCCAAAGAGGCCCCCTCCCCCGGCAGGCAGCCCCCCCAGCACAGGCTGGAGCGCGAGCCACCGGCCGCCTTTCCCAGCAGCCCCAGCATCCCGGTGGCCCAGCGTCACGAGCACCACCACCACCACGAACACCACCACCACCACCATTACCACCACTACCCCCATACATGAGCCCCCACGGGCACCATCAACAGGTCGCCTCGCCCTTCTGCTCATGACCGTCCTCCATGCTGCTCAGGATCAGCCATTACGTACCGGGAAGGTGATTTTCTGCCTAATAATGTAAATCAGAAGGAGATGGTGTTGTTCTCCAAAGGGCCGTCCTGTTGTCAGAAAAAGGCTCCGCTGTTCAGTAATACCAGAGGAACTCTCTCTCTGACTCCTTTAGCACACAGTCGTGTTCCGTGCAGCAAATGTAATGTCATGTCTCTTGGTTTGGCTTTTAAAGTGACCGGAGGAAATGTAACTCAGCGTGGGTTCCAGTTCTGTGGATGCTGGTGTGAGTGGAGCTATGTCTGTTGAAGCGTGTTATGTTAATTCGTATGATGTGACTGCTAAAATGAGTGGCGCTTTATGTGACGTCGTGACTGGGTAGGTGGTGATTTGTGTGATGTGGCAGTGTGGGTGGAGCTATGTGTGACATCATGATTACATCAGTGTCGATTTGTGTTGTGTGGTGAAGCTTGGTGTGATGTCACGTTGCTGTTGATCTGGCCAAGGAAACCATGGGACTGTAATCAGATCCAAGTCCCAAAAGCTGCTAAAAGAGTTTTATCTTTGCTTTTTCTGTGGAAACGTGAGAAAAACACTTGAAGTGTTTTAGTGAAAAGTTACAGCATTTCTTTCTTTTATCAAACAGTTTGTGACTGCATGAATGTTAAAAGCGGGCGCTGTCTGACGTATCAGATCGCATACTGCACACTTTGCTTGTAGGAAACTTGCCTACTGGTCATTTAAGCGTCTGCTGCTACAGTTAAGCGGCGTGTGCGTTTGAAGTTTCTACGCTAAACGTTTTGCACTGCAGGTAATACAAGCCAAACACGGCCAAATTAGCAATTCGATATCTTATTTTAAGGTTAATCTCTATGGTATATTATAATATTATCCAGCTACAAATTAACTTTGGCTAGCAGACACGTCTAATTCATTAGGGAAGATACTACAGGCATTCATTAGTAGTACAAAAGTCAATATACAGAAAGTAATTTAACAAAAGGTAAATCACTTGTATTTTATACAAATTCGTAAACTACTGCGTTTTTATGTTCCTTTAGTTACTCTTCTCGGTCGCGGAGCACGTTTGGTTTGATGTGACCCGTGATTTTTAGAAATTTTACTTTGACACTATGGTTTTTTAAATATAGTGCCTTTGGATAACTTCATCAGCCTCAACACATGCCGGAAACCTGACAACACGTTGTCAGTCTGAAAGCCTCGCTCCTCTTACTGGGGGCTTGTGGAAAGAAACGCGGCTAAAGCTCCGGCTTCGCGCCCCTTGACGCCGATCGGCGGGCTGCTCTCTCCCGTCGGCTCTCCGCAGTGTAACTGATATCGGATGCTGTATCACTCAGATGTATGTCGATGTACTATCTGCGTTCCGCATTGTCTTCTGTCTGCTCTAGATGTCATACTCTGCATGGCATATCTTTTGTGCTAAATGAACAATATTGATTTAAAATGATTGAGTTTAAAATTGGAATTGATTCGAAATATCTTAGGTTAACGTATATGTTAGATGGGTGTACATTTGTTATACACACCTTTAGTGTCTCTGAGTCTGTATCTGTTAACAATTGTCTCAGCTCTGACTAAGTAAAACCCTCCCTGACTCCCGTCCGTCGGTCTGGCGAATCGATCGTCACCGGCCAGTACTGTTGGTTACAGGCGCCCTGGCCGCCGGCATGGCAGGCGCAGGTGGAGCCGTGTGTGCGGATGCTGTCCCGCTCTGGGGGGCCACTCCCGCGCCCGACGGACTCTACAATGTCCCCTCAGGATTTCGTTCTTAGAATTTCTTTTCACCACTGCTATGTTTAAAAACATACGATCTTTGTGTATAAAATCTGTATAAATATACATATATTTCAGTATGCAATGTATAATGTGTATCTATTAATGTTTTTACATATGCATGTGTTATGTTTCATTTTATATATTGTAATAAATTCGTATTTTCTATTGAAAGTGCCGTTACATTTACCTGGCAGATATTTACTTGCGGGGCGGCATGGTGGCGCATTGGCTCCGGGACCTGGGTTCGAGTGTCCGTCATGGTTCCGTATGGCTGTGTCGTCGTCGGAGGGGGGGTTCCTTTAGGTACTCTGGTTTCCCCACGGTCTAAAAACATGCTGAGGTTATTCGGAGTTAACAAATTGCCTATCGGTACACATGTGTGAGGGTACCCTGCCATGGGTTGGCGCCCCATCCTGGGTTGTTGCCTGCATTGCGCCATAGGCTCTAGATGCCCCGCGACCCGGAACAGGGCAAGCGGCTTCAGGAAAAGGGATGGATGTTCATTTGTCCTCAAAAATAGGTGGCCCAGAAGTATAGTTGGAGCCATACAACTGAATATAAGTTGCTAACGGGCGCTTTTAGGAAACGTACCCCTATTACCTTCTGGTAACTTTGTTGCACAGGTTTGTGTGTTAAATGCAAATATTGGTACACTACTGGCCTCTAGTGGTCAATAAAGTCAGTGACGCACTAGGGAGAAGAGAGAACATGTTAAAACAATTTTTCACAGTCTATGTTATGTTTGGATAAACAACTTGACAAAAAATATATATCGAGATTAGAATTAGAGGTTAACTTCGAAACTTGCTGAATTAAATAATCTTGAAGTTCTCTGTGAGTTCCTATGACCAATAACACAAAATTCTTATGGTTTCCGATACCAACAAGATCAAGACAACAATCCCTTTTATAACATCTATACTCATTGGGGGATAAGACAGGGCATAGTAGAGCATACACACACACAGTATATATATATACACACATAACACAAACCTTCAGCAGGCTCCTGTCAGCAGTTTCTTATTCTTTGCCTTTTGGCACATAAGTATGGATTTTTTTTTTAAGATCCTAAATTTTCTGCAGTTCTGATTTATTAGATTTTGACATATTTCTCCAGCTAGGTCAGTCATAATTTAGGGCAAGTTTCTATTTGGCTGGGAAACTCAAAGTATGAAAAAGAATGACAATGTACTTTATAATATGAGGACTACAGTATGAGTTCATTCATCATTGGTCATTAAAAATATCACCTGCACTGATCAGGGGTTGAGAAGCTAGTTGTCCTGATTATTTTGTTTTGTTTTTGATACTGGTCATACTGGTTAATTTTTTATGGTTTAGGGACTCAGCCAGGTTATGCGGGAGGTTTTCAGGGGTCACACTGTGAACAGCAGGTCGGAAATAGAGTGTCCGTATGTGACCGACTGGCTGAAGGCTCAGGACAGCTGCCTCTAGGAATAGCTCCTCTCTCACCTCCCTGAAGAGCGAGAGGGGGAGCTAGGAGAGACAGGGCACTCCCTAAGCACAGGCACAGAGTGAGGTGCGGAGAGTGTGCGGGGCCACGGGGGGAGAGATGTGCTTAGGCACAGCCTGAGTGTGTCACACGGGAGCCTCAGCTGACTGCAGGGGGTGGGGTTGGGTGGGCGGGGAAGAGGGAGAAGCTGACTGCTGCTCAGGCACGACAAGCCAGGAGCCACCATGAAGACCCTGAAGTTCCTCGCCGCGGAAAGTTTTGCGCGGGGCGGCTCCCACTCGGCTGAGAGCATTGGCTTCCTGTCGCACAACCTGTACCCGCTGCTGTTCAAGGCCGCCTACCTGCACGAGCGGCCGCAACTGCTGCATGCACTGGTGCAGGCCTGGCCGCTGGCCCAGTTGGACTTGAACAGGCTGCTGGGCCGCACGGCGGACTGTGGCGAGGACCTGACAGAGCACACGTGCCACTCCTGCCTGGAAGCGCTGCTCTACGGCCTGCGCGACCACGTGCTGAGCTCCGGTGCCACTTACGCCAAGAGCCTGCGTTCTGTCGACCTGACGGGGCTCCGTGACGTTGAGCGGCAGCACTGCCCTTGTGGACGCACGCTGGGCCGCTGGGGACGCACGCAGCTCGCCGCCCGTATGTGCCTGGAGGCGCTGGTGACCTCGCAGAAGGGAGGCGAAGGCCCGATGCGGCCTGTGGACATAAGGCTCAATGCGTTCGTCACGGGCCGTAGCTACGAGGAGGTGAGCCATGCGCTAGCGCTGAGGGCGCATTCACCCCTGCGGCTCTGCTGCGTCGCCCTGCGCACCGACTCCCTCAGCCTCAAGCAGCTGGCCTACGTGATGCGGCTGGCCGATCCGCCGGCCCTGCGCCGCCTCGAGGTCGTCCACAACGTGCACCTGGAGGCCCCCCACCTGGAGCAGCTGCTGTCACGGGTGCCTTTCTGTGAGCTCTGCTCCCTCACGCTGCCAGCTCGAGCCCTGGACGTCCGGCGTCTTGGACCTGGGGACGAGGGGTTGCTGGGCACCATCGGCGAGCTGCTGAGCCGACTGAAGCAGCTGACGGAGCTCTACCTGGCCTTCTCCACCCTGACCGGGCACCTCAGGAGGCTGCTAAGGTGGGCTTCTGTCCACCTTGATGATGCGTAATGTGTGCGGCTGGGTCACTTTGTAGTTTTTTTTTTTATTACAAAGCAAGGTCAGCCCCTGATTTACAGCTCTGTCATGGGCGAGGCAGTGTGGATGGGACCACAAGTAAGTTATACTCCCATAGGAGTGAGATTTAGGAAATGCCTTTAAATATTATTTCATTCTGCTTATTACAAACACACTTTAAGTTTAAGTCTCATGTGTAGGATAATGCCAGCATTGTATTTTAAACCACAAAACATATGTCCCCAGCCGTCCTGTGACGGGCTCTGGGCTCATTGAAACCCTTCTGCGAAATAGTGCCTAAAGAGACTAGATGAATGGTTGTATGGATAAAGCATAATAACACTGATAAACTACACAATGCTCTGTATAATCAAAGAAAACTAACCTGTACTGAAAATAGTATATGATCAGATTTCAGGTTTCAAGGTTTCAAAGGTTTATTGTCATATGTGGGATGTACTGGTACAAAGTACAATTAAATTCTTACTTGAATGTCTTCTTGCACGCTATAAGCAGGCAAAAACCAGTATGCAGAGCAACAATACAATAACACAAACTGTACAGTATGTGCGAACAACAAAACACTAACAGACAGGATATATACGGTATTATATGGATCACAGAAATAGGCCAGTAGTAACGTGATATATTGCAATAAAGTGCATGTGAGTTCAAAACAAAAGTATGTATTACAACATACTTACGCAAAGAGTAAAACACTGTTACCAGCAAAGTGACCATGCAGAGAAGTAATGTCCAAGGCAGTAGGTAACTCAGTACTCAGTACTCAGAGTAACATACAATAACGGTATAATTATAATGACAGTAACATGACAGTGCAGTAGAACAACACCGATGATCAGTCACCAGTTTGACGCTTGTGAAGCAGTCACTAGGGGAAAAGCTTTCCCTGAATCTCGCTGTGCATGATGTGATGGTCCAGAGTCATTTAGAAAAGTCCTAAAGCTGGATGACTGGGGTCCTCCACTGAGCAGAGACCTTTTCTAAGGCAGCACGTGCTGTGAATGTCCTGGATTCCTGGAAGCTCGGTGCCAATGATTTTTTGAGCTGTTTCCACAACCCTTTGTAGAGCTTTCCTGGTCTCTCTCGAACAGCTGCCATAGCAGGATGTAATGCATCCAGTCAGGAGGGACTCGACAGTGCATCTGCAGAAGTTACAGAGCGCTGTATTAGCCAGGTGAAGTTTCTGCAGGCACCTAAGGAAGTGAAGGCATTGGTGGGCCTTCTTGGTGATAACTCCTGCGTGCTCTGTCTGCTTGAGGTCATCAGTGAGAGTTACCCGCTCTCCGCGGCATCTCCTCCGATGTTCATGGGGGGTGTGCTACATCTCGTCTGGGAAAGTCAATGACCAGCTCCTTGGTTTTGCTAACATTCAGAGAGAAGCTGTTGTCCTCACACCAGACTGCCAGAGACTTAACTTCCTCTCTGTAAGCCGTCTCATCATTGTTGGTGATTAGCCCTACAATGGGGGTTTTGCCAACAAACTTGATTATAAAGTTGGAGCTGTGTCTGGCCACCCAGTCGTGTGTGTACAGGGAGCAGAACATGGGACTTAGAACTCTTCCCACAGTGCTATTATTGAGAACCAAGGTGGAGGAGGTTGTTCTGCCAATGCGCAACAGCTATGAGGAAATCCTGTATCCAGTTGCACAGAGTAGCACTGAAACCTGGTTCAAATAACTTCTGGCTTAGTTTGGACGGGATCACTGTGCTAAATGCAGAACTGTAATCCACAAATACCAGCCTAGCATAATAGTTTTTTATTTTCCAGGGGGGCAGAGTGGTATAAAGTGCAAAGGATATGGCATCCTCAGTCAACCTGCTGTGACGGTAGGCAAACTGCAAAGGCTTTAAGCTCTCTGGTGCAATGCTTCTGATATGTCCCATAAGCCTTTCAAAGCACCTAATCGCCATGGAGTAAGACAAACTGGACAGAAGTTTCTTCAGTACAGGTATCATGGTGGTGTTCTCCAAGCAGGTGGGAACTGCAGGAACTTCAGGGTCTTCATGGAGGCTCCTGTCAAAAATGTCTGTGGAAACACCTGCTAACTGGTCACTGCAAGAGTTTAGAATGCAGGCAGAAATTCCGTCGGGTGCTGCTGATGTGTGGATATTAACGCAGCTGAATGTTCTCGTAACGTTGTCAACAGAGACAGAGGCAGAACTGGTGTCGTCTAGCTTGCGTTGGAGGGTCTGTATTTCAGAGCTCAAAGCGACCATAAAACGCGTTCAGCTCGCCAGGAAGTGATAGACCAGTAACCAAGTGAAGGTGACGGCAGATTATAATCCATTATTATTTGGATTCCCTGCCACATCTAACGCACGTCTTTTGCACAGGTGAACTCGTGTTCTACCTTAGTGTTGCATTCGCGTTTCGTGCATTTAATGGCTTTCTGGAGATTGCACTTATGTTTCTCATATGCTTGCATGTCTCCAGACTGAAACACGTTATTGCAAACCTACGTCAGTTTCCTAGTATCTCACTAATAAGTGAGAATAACAATTGATGTATAGGAAGGTAGTTCAGCTGTCTGTGCCTTTGGTTGGACGGGGGGCAGATGGGGTTGATGTCAGACCTCTTGCACCAGAAGGTGCCACACACTTCCAAACAAATGTCCATCTGCCAGTTGCTTGGTACAAAAGGGTCAGCGATGCAGCAAAATAATGTGAAGTACAGTGTTGCTTCACTGCTAGTGTTACCTGGCGTGTACTGGTACATCCACTCCATCATATATGTATATTATTAACCAAAAAAATGGTGACGCCGCGTGATTCAGTGGAACAGATTTTATGGGACCAGACTACACTCCTGGGCAAAAAAATGGGCCAAACCCGAAATTCCCTGGTCAGAGTCCAGATTTGAACCTATATTTAGTTTCACATTAACCACAAAGTAACCAAGAAATATTTTTGAACTATTCATCCAGTGTTTAAAGCCATTAACATTGAGCGGAACGTTGACTCTTCTTTCTGTAAAGAGCCGTCTGCAGTTTGCTCTGTTCTTTTTCCGTGAGGAATTTTGTGTGACGAAGCATCAGTGCAGGAATACAATGAAGGAAATCAATGGAAAAAGCTGTTTCTTTATCAATTTGATCCCTGCTAATGTCCTGACCGATTATTTACTATTGAGACCATTAAAAGCTCAATGTTTTGCAATTTCCTGTTTAGCCCCTCGTTTTGCACACCTACAGGTCGCCTGATGTGCCGTGTGAGGTCTTTGTTCTTAATCCCGTTGCTTAGTGACACTGCGTGTGCTTGTCCAGCCCCCTGAAGACCCCCCTACGGTGCCTGGAACTGGCCAACTGCAGCCTGAACAGCGCCGACATGGTGTACCTGGCTAATAGCCTGCACTCCGAGCACCTGGTCAGCCTGGACCTCAGCGGCCACGCCCTGGCCGAGGCTTTCCCCCACGCCTTCCTCAAGCTGCTGCGCCGCTGTGCGGGGACGCTGGCCAGCCTGACCCTGGAGGAGTGCGGCCTGGAGGAGCAGCACCTGGAGCTGTTGGCAGGGGCCCTGGCACCCTGCCGCGCCCTGCGCCAGCTTAAGCTCCTGGGCAACCCACTGAGCTCACGGGCCCTGAACGTCCTCCTCGCCGGCCTGGCCTTGCACCACAGCCTGCGCTACGTGGAGCTGCCGGTGCCACGCGAGTGTTACCCCGCAGACGCTGCGTACCCGCTGGACGAGGCCGAGCTGCTGCGGTACGACCGCACCCGGTTCGAGGAGGCGCGGGCGGAGCAACTGGCACTCCTGCAGCAGGAGGGCCGCCCCGACGTGGAGGTGTGCACACCGCTACTAGGTGCCTATGACCCCGAAATCAATGAGACCAGCAATGAACTGGGCATGCTGATGCTGCACTCCTTCAAGGACATCCTGGGCAACTTCATGGACAGCATAACGGCCCAAAAATAAGTCAGTAGGGGGCGTGGTGGTTATGCACTTCGAAAGCTAAAGACACTTAAGGTGAATTGATCCAGTCAAATATCTGGCTGTACGAACGGGGGAGATCGTGTCTCAGTCACTGTGCATGAGTTTCTATTTAGAAATGACCCATAAACAAAAGGTGCATGACCTCAAAATTGCAGGGTCGTGCTGCACTAACATGATACCCCCACTAGGGGTGTAGCACAAATTTTGGAAATTCTTATGGTTTTGATGAGGTTTTAATGAGTCCTATAGGACATTTAGTTGTAAGAAAAAATAACCTATAAAGTCACATAATAAAATGAGACAAAATAACTATAATGTATGGTTTACCAGTATTTCTCCCAAGTCTGGACCTTGGTTATAAACAACAGTGATATTGGCTTGTTCAGAACAAACCAATGCAGAACTAAATAGCTTCCATTTCCTGTCACATGACATTAGCATTCACACAACCTGAGTTAAGCATTTGACCTGAAGCGTGTTAGGGGTATGTGCAATATCAGAGCACCAGCCCTTCCCTGACATTCAGCTCCCTGCATCAACACGTGCGACCCACACAAAGCTGGGTGCAAACGGAGACAAGGTCAGCTCTGTGATTGGCTCTGCAGTCTCATGCAGCGTGGACAGACCACCTGCTGGGGTTCCAGCCATTGCCTGGCGTCACTGTCCTCAGCCGTTTATTCCCCCACGGCTCTGTCTCCCATGACACTCAACAACGTTCTGCCCTGCTGTGCCGTAAACACCATTTAAACACCGTGCCTTCAGTGCAGATTCCATTCTGTCAAGGGCGATTCTACCGCAGGTCATAAGCACTTTTAGGGATGGGGAATGGCATTTGACATTTCTGAAAACTAAACCAGTGTTACTCATACCTCTGTTGGTGCACTCAGCTCTGCTCTACTCCACCACCAGGCTCTGATTAAACTACAGAACAGATCTTCAAGCCCATAATAAATTAATGCAGGTTAAATTAAATATTAATATATGGTGATGCTGGGGGTCTCAGGAACAAGTTTCAGAACAAGCAAGAAAACTTCAATGACCCGTAACAGAGGCAGGATAAAGGCCGTGGCAACAGTGTAAGAACAGCTTTAATGGTTACACATCCCAGACCAAGATACAGTTTAGATATCGCAAGAGGGGAAAAGATGCACGGACAGAGGAGGAATGCAACATCTACAGTGCTATTTCTTCTGCCAATCCTCACGCTCTTTCCTCTCCCTGACGACCTCCTTCAGGTAGGGCTCCAAGTACCGCATGTCCTGCAAGGGATCACACGACGCTTTAGGGAACAGAGATAAATCCTTCATAAGAATGTTTAATGCAAAATAGGCACATCCTCATCTCACTGGGAAAACTGGGTAGTTCTCGCATACCTAATCTTGTTCGCCATGAGAGTCCAGAAATATTTGGGGTTAAGGACCTTACTCATGATATGATATGATTATGCTGTCACTGATGGGATTCAAACAAACAGCCTTCTGGACATAGGTACAAATGCCTAATCAACTGAGCTTCACACCACTGCTCTAAAAAGAAGCCAGTCTGCTGTAATTGGTATAATAACAGGCCACGACTTACAGTGAAGAACAGCACTGTACAAAGTCACTGCTGTGACTGACATCCTACTACTAACTCTGGTGATATTAAGCCATAGTTAAATAACAGGGAAGGACTTGTTGGTGAGAAGCAGCTAATATTCTCAGCACTATTTCCATTAAATATTTTGTCTTTAGCCATTACAGCTTTTCCAAGTCTTTCCTGGAAATGGTTTAGCACATTCAGACACACACTGATGGTTCTTTTTAATACAATATTTAAAAACCACACAGGGATATGGTTGGGGGTGGTTCAGGAATTCTGCTAATCAGATTGCACTGTACCTCTTCATATTTAATCCACTGGTTCTTGGGCAAAATTTGGTGCTTCATGGACAAGTCCAGGGCACGTTTAATGCGGAAAATCCTTTCGTTATAAAGGTTCTCCGGTAACCTCTTGACGGCCTCCTGCACGTCGCGATCCTCATGGAGCACGTCATCCCGCATCAACCCTGAAAGGAATCCAATTCAGCTCCATGCAAGCAAACCTTCACAGGCATGATGTGATGTCCCAAAATGTGCAGCAAGGATTTCACAGCACATAAGCAAGCTTACCGATTTTGTTGAATCCAGCAGCGTTGTAAAACCATTTAGAGAAGACGGTAAGCAATCGGCCACTGGAAGCTACGGATAAGAGACAACTTTTAGTAAACCTGAGTTCACTGGATTCACTTTGTATCAAGATGTCATCTGCAGCTGGCGAGGGGATCATGGTGGTTGCTGACATATATTCAACACACATAACAGAGTCACTGAATATCTTGGGCTGACAGCATCATCCTGTGAAAACTGGTGCTATTTACATTTAGCAGTCATGTTTATGCAAAGCAATGTGCAAGTGAGGAGAGAGCAGGATCAAGCAGTGGAGACATTACTCTGCCCAGCCACAGGATTTGATCCAATGACATTCTGACCACAGGGCTAACCCTAAGGTCCTAACCAGGAGATCCACCAGCAAAAAAACAACTAGATCCTATCGGGGTGGGAAAAAAATGTACACACACACACACACAAAGAGTTAACACCTTGTCAGAAAGTCAAGCTAACACGATGACTGACACAAGCCAAAATGAAATAAACGGCTGCTCATGCATACAATTTGTGCCTGGAAAGCTATAACACATCAGCTATCTGACAAAACGTTACGACCAGTGCTTGATCACTGTCAAAAGATGTCGCGGGGTTTCTAGGGCACGGTAGAGGACACACATATCTAATGCAGACTGCTGCCAACGGCAATACCTCTGCCACCGTATCACGACGTACGTGTTTCGACAAACTACAGTACGCTATTCAATCACGCACGTATCCACGATATTTCCATTACATTAAAACTCAAAACCTTACGGAGAACGACATTACCTGGTACTTTCGACGCCATCTTGATGTATTAGTTGACAGCGTGCAGAATTGTGGGATCTCTGACGCAACGACGGCTGCCGCTAGGGGACATTTCCGCTTATAAATCAAGCAAAAGGCATGTGGCGCTTGTAGTGTTTTAATCGCCGACCAATTGATATAAAGATCACCAAGTTAAACCAAGTATTTAATAATGCATTTATGGACTGGCACTGACTGAAAACCATTGTTTTCAATCTAAAGTTTAAATGACAGTCTCCAGTGACAAAGGCTATTCTGACAGAGAACCTAAGTAGTCTTTTTTCAGTTGAGACTTTAAAGTTATTTATGTTTAAAGTTAGATGTATATTAAGTTTCATTATTAACCAATATTCGTAGAATCTATATCTCTTGGGTTCAGGCATTGTGTTGTATTGGTGATTTAATACTGCTTTAAAAAACACAGCTTTTTGTTTAATGCATGTAGTCAACCTTTTTTTGGAGCGGTGATCTACTGACAAAACACACCAGTGCCAAAACAATGAGGAATGCAATCAGTATTTGGATCAACAGCTTATTTTATTATTATATAAATGATAACTTAAACCATTTAATGGTCCAGGAATGATAATCTATTATCTAGATCAATGAAGTTGAATACTCTTTCTTCTGGTTTAATATTTTATTTGCACAGTTGAGCCCATAAACCTGTACGTCACTATTCATCTTTTAAAGTAAAAAAAAATACTATTGTGATCATCATCATGTGTCATTTCAGACACAATATTTTAAAAGTGCATTAAGACATTGGTTTTAAAACCTTTGTGTAAAATCAGTCTGTTCAGGAGGTAAATGGCTAGACAAGTAGCAGTAAATATGCAGGCACTGCTTAAACTGACAGCCATTATTAGCTAAAATACATTTAATAATTGAAAAGACCCAACATGGTAGCCACATAGCTGGTCAAACACCCTTTAATTTCACAGTAGAAAACAATCGCTAAATGTCTGACCTGCAATGCATTTACGCATTAACATTTCCTACTGACATACAAATGGGAGAGAAACAGCTGGTTTTAAATTACAGGGTCTTCTGAAACAGCTCAAAGTCTTCTAAGGTTGCTTTCGCCACATCAGAGCAGAAGACCCGGTCTGGCAGGGAAATGAGGCAGTGCAGGGAAATGTAATTGGGCTTTGCGGGGTCATACTGGGCCATTTCTAGGTACCGGAGGAACAGGTGTCTCTCTTTGATCCGAAGAAGCCTCGAGTTGAAAACCTAGGCATATAAACACAAAGGCCGTAAAGTCAGAAAGCATTAAAAAACAAGTGTATTAAGAGCCCAACATCTCTCCGTGTTCTGCAGACCTGGGGGAATTTGATGATGAGAGAGTGAGGGATGCCCATCGTGTTGTGGATGTAGTTAAAGATCTCAGTCAGCTTCTTTTTGTTGGCAGTGAGCACCTTGGGAACTGCGGTGACAATATGCTGGATTTCATTGGGGCGGAAGCCCAGCTCCAGCTCACAGACCTGATGGTGGAAAATGGCATCAGACAGGGTGGAAAAGACCAAAAGAAACAAGGGCAGGAAGTGGAAAAGATGCCTCAGACCTTCAGGTTCTCCTTCACTGGTTCCAAACTCCTACACAGCAGCCCTGGAAGACGAACCAGAAGGTTTCTGGTCTAAAAGACATGTAAAAATGGTTACCATTCATTACTGCTCTGAGGAAAAGTGTAAGAAACTTAGACTGTTTGCTAACTGAGTGAAGCTACTTAAATTATTCTTTATATCATTAATTAGTGGGTCTGGTGCAGTGGTCAAGAGAAGAAAAACTTTCAGCTCCATAAAATTGCATCTACTAAAATATATCACATGTGATGGTAACTTCTCCAGAAACCCAGTAACAAAATGAAAAACGTCATAGCATGTCTAAGAAGTCTCAGAAGATCCAAGTGACACCTGTGACTGGTCTTCTAAGTCTTCCACTAAGATTGATTGGCAAATACAATCCTTTGCCAGATGCTCAATGTGGCGCGCTAATGCAAAGCATCATGGGTTGTGGGACACCACCTTTAGAGGTTAGCGACTCTCTAGTCTATTAAAAAGGCTTCAAAGGCGCCGGGTAAAACTACAGATTGGCATCTGCCTCCTGTGAACCCTGTGCTGGGCAAAGGGGTTATGGGCGCTGAGTGACTGGTTTGCAGCTTCCACTCTACCTTCTCTGTGCTGAGGCCCAAAGTTTGCTGATAGAAGTTCAAGCGGTTGTCAAGCCTCTCAATGCTGAAATTGAGTAAATAAGGAGCTTTGGACACCATGGTTGCCACAGACACCCGGCTGAACTTCTTGGACCTCAGGTATGCGCTCCTTTAATTGAGAGAAAACAAATGAATGAAGATACAAAACACACACACAGACACAGTCACAGTCACAGACACACACACCATCCCTAAGGAGCACAGTGTACCATGCCTCACGCACTGCATTTGCAGAAGCTAATGGAGCCCACCTGGCTCGAAGGTTCTCCAGACCCTCTGTGAGGATGAAAGGGTTACGGGTGATGAAGGCCCCAAGCCGTGAGTCCTCCACACCCACATCCTTCAGGAAAAGCAGCCGGTCCTTCACGTCGGCCTGGAAATCCAGCCGAAGCAGCATAGATCCAACATTGGGCCTCTGCTCCAGCTTGCTCAGGTTAACACCTTGTAGCACATATACAGGTGTCAAAGCGCAAGACAGCAAATCCATTCAAAGGTTACCATGACAGCAGAGCTAATGGGTACAAAACTGGACTTACGATTCTGTCGTCAGGTTAAATGTACCCATTTTAAACAGTGACTGTCAAGTATTCTCTTGCAGGTATACAAGTATCTAAATCAAGTATAAATAAAATTTGTAACAAACATAATAAAACAGAAAAGAAATAGTTTAACATCATCACCACTGAATATTTCATCTACATTAAAGTCCCACTTTTAGGTACCTAACTTAAGCAGCTGCTGGAGCGTCTCTGATTGGTCGACGTAGTCCCCGAGAGAGACGGAGGCGGCAGGCAGGGCCGGTTCTGCGTGAATCTGCACAGCCTCCTCCTCACTGATCTCCTCAAAGGGAGCAAGGGGCGGGGAGCCATCCAGATCTGAACAGGCGAGGAGCACAGAATGACATGTGACCGATTCGGAGGTGGAGGCTGGGAGAGCATTTCAATCACGAGCAGATCCGGGTTTTTACTGTCGACAAACTCTTCCGTTAAAGCTGATGTTCAAGTAGAGCAATAATAAGCATAATAAGGGAGTCTGTGATGGACTCGAGGTAGGCCAACATTCTTATAATGTAAGATCACGTCGTGTTTAACTGCATCTATACCATCTGCTAATTTATTACTATTCTTGTACTTCAATATTTATTTCCTTCTGTAACATTACAGTATTCTGTTTTTCATGGGAATTTGTGTACTGTGTGAATTTATTTGCACTGTATCGTCTTTGCACTTTATACGTTTGGATATTTATTTTCGTCTGCGCACTTTGTTGTCACTGCTACATGCACCATAATTTCCCCCCGGCATCAATAAAGTTTATCAAACTTAATGCAAAATATCTACGTTTTGTCATGCATGAAAATGCTCCAATGGCAGTGCACTTACCCAACAGAGGTGCCTGGCTGTCCGGAAGGGGGGGCGTGCCAAACAGTGACCCCTCTGGGTGTCCAGGCTGCTTGGATATGAGGCCAGTTTGGGCAGGGTCAGCAGGAAGCGGCTGGCTCTCTCGGCTTGCAAGGGTAACGACGGTCGTGTCGCTATACTGGCACACTGTCAGTTTCCAGGTCTCAGTTTGTGGAGGTTTATGGAAACGCCCCGTGATACCAACAGGCCGTGCTGGACCGCGGGTGGAACTAGCAGCGAATGTAATCTGAGGGACGCTGGAAAACTGTGCATTGGCTGAGTGCAGAAATCTTGCGCTCTGCTGCAGATCCGAGCACAATTTCCTCACACCAAGGAAAAAACAGCATCTCTTGCACAGGTGAAGACCACCAAGTGCCATGAGGAAATTTCTAGAACAGAAATATTATAGAAACAAACAAAAAACATTTTTTTTAACATTCACACTGTTTAAATTAAGGAAGTTCATGTGCATAAACATTTTAAGCAAAATAATTAATAAGCCTGAGTTCTCATTCAAGTTTCAGCTTTTTCTTCAAATTAAAGAAATTTATTGTCAAACAAGTACTAGATCCATGTATTTATAACTGGTGAATCGCGTACACGTTTCTGGATTATGCGGGTCGATGGATGTATAATGGACCGTCGTGTTTGAACATAATACAGTACTTACATATCCATGTTTACCTAATCAGAATAAATATCAGAATCTGTACTGCCACACGACCAAAGCCAATGGAGATTAATTATGTGTAAAACAAAACGGAAAAACATTACATTCTTGATATGACATATTTAACTTTACAATTATTATATAGACAAATCCTTTTCAGTTGCCTAGCTAGGAAACCATATATTCAAATCTATTTTCATTTTGGGAACGCATTTAAAAGGCTGTATTAATTTACGACTTGTTTACTACCAGCCCTCGATCACAAAACTTCCTTCCTTACTAGTTACTTTAGCTTTACCATGTAAAAAACGCCCGTATAATCGGAAAAAATGTCATTGCGTCAGAAGCGTGCGCTGCATAATTTTAGTTCATTTGGCCAAAAAAGACAGTAAGAATTCTGAATTCGTCGTGAATTGAACATCACTGAACGTCCTGTGTCAACTAAACCCATAAAGTTACCTGAAAATCCGTCTAACGCCACTGAAATCACCAACACGCAGCTTTGCGACAGTGGCGCTGATCAGTCAGTCAGACCCATGTGGCGCTCAGGAGGCGTTCATTACCGGGTCGTACCAAGTGGAGTCACGGTAGAGGGGTTCACCTTTACCAAGATCAAAGAAACAACCAACAAGACAAAAGCCTCTCTAGATTACTTTTAGCGCTGCTAAAGTTTTATAAGAAATAATGCGATTATGGTAATAGCATTAATGTTTTGGAATCCCAGTCTGTATTACTTGAGCGCTGTTATCTCTTCTCCCCCCGCAAGTACATCAAATGGCTTTGCCGTTTCCAGGCTAATTGACACGGGGCTTAGCGGATGACAGACCCTGACCTAAGTGACTGGTGAACCGGGGGATTCTGAAGGGCTGACTGGGGAAGCTGAGCGACGATGGCGTCCGCCTTGGGGTCCCGGACGCTGAGCAAAGATGATGTCAACTACAGGCTGCATTTCCGCATGATCAACGAGCAGCAAGTAGAGGACATCACTATCGAGTTCTTCTATAAGCCACACACGATTACTTTGCTGACTTTCACCGTGGTCAGCCTGATGTACTTCGCGTTTACCAGGTACGCGATACCGCCCCTGGAGGGGTTAGCTGGCTTAGGTGGGCATGTGGGTTCTAGGGTTGGGTCTGGGTTTGCCAGCTAGGTGCCGCCTGCCGCTGTGGAGGAGACGTAGTAAACATGTTGTTGAAGTCCGTAATTTTAATTGAGGGTTGTACTGGTACTCGGATGTTCATTATACCTTTTAACTACCATATTTCTGTCTTTCTTCCCCCTTCTTTCACGGCCCCGTGTTGCATCGAGTGGTGGGTCCCGCCTTCCTGCCATGCCATCCGAGTTCCGCTTTTCAGACTGTATGTTTTGCCCAAAGAGTGTGGAAAGTACATCTTTTCCATCAATACCACGCGTGCAGCACTTTCCATCTCTATAGCACTTTCTTAAACACGTCAGTGTGTTATTTTCATTAATAACACGATCGGAATAGAAACATTTCTCCTTTCGTCGCGCATTCATCTGGTTCTTCTCCAGCGTCTCAGAAATAAAATCCCCTCACTTAGTGTCTATTTCACTGAGCACATGGCTTTAGTGTTTTTATTTTACAACTTTAAGTTATAGGTTGGATGACGCACAGGGTTGTGAATTTGATTTTTTTTTGGACTAGTTAACATTTCTAGACAAAGACAACCCATTAAAGCGAACAGCGAAGGACTTGGCATTTGTTCTGCAAGGAGGATATGTACGGAAAGCCGGAGATGGTTGTTACCTGATCGATCACATGTTCGGTTGGAAAGTAACCGGCCCTCGGTAACTGAGTACGGCCCTAATACTGTAGGACATGTTGGGGGAGGATGGAGGGGTGGGATTGCAGTACTATCTTAAACGTTATGTGTCGTTGTCTTTAGCTCTGATTGTGTGTGAAGCTTTTTTTTAACTCAGAACTAACGTTATTTCCAGTATGTATGAACATACCGAATTGTTTGTGGTCCGGTGCCAAATATGAATTATAGGACAAAAATGACAAGACCTACGGAGAAACCCTTAACAGGACATTGCATGTGTACAACTAAGAATGCAATATAAATTACAGATTAACAGAATACAACAACATCAACAGAACACATTATGCAAAACGTTTTAAGATAATAAATAACATCATAAAATAACACACATTTGGTCACTGTTGTAGTACAAATGATGAGTGAATGTTACCTGGGTGTTTCTGAGGTTCTAGGCGAGTTTAGGAGTTTGATGGCTGTGGGGTCGAAGCGGTGGGGATGTCGTGATGATGTTGTGATGCGCTTGTACCTCGTCTGTGATGGCAGTTTGGGGAAGAAGTGACTGTCTGGGTGGGTGGAATCAGCAGCAATCTTCCTAGCTCGACTCTTTGCCATGGCGGTGACCAGGATGTTTAGTATTGGTGGCTGACAGTCTGTGATCTTCTCAGATGATCAGACCACATGGGGGGGGGGCTATAGCTATCTGAGTCAGCTTAATGTGGAGAATTGATGGAACAGTGTTGTTGGAGGCTGAACTGAAATCCACAAACAGGAGCCTGACATATGTGCTGGGGGAGTCCAGATGTTGGAGAATGTAGTGGAGGGACAGTGTAACTGCATCCTCCACTGAGCGGTTTGCTCTGCTGGCAAACTGCCGAGGGTCAAGGGGGGGTCTGTGATGGACTTGAGGTAGGCCAACATCAGGCCTTCAATGGCTTTTATAACCGCTGAGGTCAGAGCAACTGGTCTGTAGTCCAGTGGTCTTGTCTGTCTTGGGAGCTGGGACAGACCTTAAGAGTCTGGGACCCTGCATGCATGAGGGAGTTGTTGAAGATTTCAGTAAAAACTGGACCAGTCAGATGGGTGCAATGTGCTGGCTGGGATGCCATCAGGGCCTGCTGCTCTCCTGGTGTTCCGCTTCCAGAATAGTCTGCATACATCCCCAGTCTCCACAAAGAAACAGGAGTGTGGGGAGGAGGGAGATTGTGGGGTGGGCAGGGTGTTCCAGCAGTAGAATCGGGTATGGGGGGGCCCGGCAATATCTCAAAATATTTTATCACAGTAATTTTTTTTCATACCAATCTATTGATCATTATCAGATTATAATTCATTATTTCCTATCATACACTATATTGCCAAAAGTATTGGGACACCCCTCCAAATCATTGAATTTAGGTGTTCCAGTCACTTTCATAGCCACAGGTGTATAAAATCGAGCACCTTGGCATGCAGACTGCATCTACAAACATTGGCGAAAGAATGCATTGCTCTCAGGAGCTCAGTGAATTCGTGTGGTACCGTGATAGGATGCCACCTGTGCAATAAGTCCATTCGTGAAATTTCCTCGCTACAAAATATTCCACGGTCAACTGTTAGTGGTATTATAACAAAGTGGAAGCAATTGGGAACAACAGCAACTCAGCCATGCTCCATTCACACAATAGCTACAGACCTCCAAACTTTGTGTGGCCTTCAGATTAGCTCAAGAACAGTGCATGGAGAACTTCATGGAATGGGTTTCCATGGCCAAGCAGCCAATCACCTAGTGCAATGCAAAGCTTCATATGCAGTGATGTAAAGCACATCGCCACTGGACTCTGGAGCAGTGGAGATGGGGTCTCTGAAGTGACAAATCACGCTTCTCTGTCTGGCGATCTGGTGGACAAGTCTGGGTTTGGCTGTTGCCAGGAGAATGGTACTTGCCTGACTGCATTGTGCCAAGTGTAAAGTTTGGTGGAGGGGGGATTATGGTGTGGGGTTGTTTTTCAGGGGTTGGGCTTGGCCCCTTAGTTCCAGTGAAAGGAACTCTTACTGCTGCAGCTTACAAGTCATTTTGGACAATTTCATGCTCCCAACTTTGTGGGAACAATTTGGGGATGGCCTCTTCCTGTTCCAACATGACTGCACACCAGTGCACAAAGCAAGGTCCATAAGGACATGGATGAGCAAGTCTGGGGTGGAGAAACTTGATTGGCCTGCACAGAGCCCTGACCTCAACCCGATAGAACACCTTTGGGATGAATTAGAGCGGAGACTGCAAGCCAAGCTTTCTGGTCCAACATCACTGCCTGATCTCTCCTGGACGAATGGTCAAAAATTCCCATAAACACACTCCTAAACCTGGTGGACAGCCTCCCCAGAAGAGCTGAAGCTGTTATAGCTGCAAAGGATGGGCCAACTCCATATTAAAGCCTATGTATTAAGAACGGGCTGTCATTAAAGTTCATGTGTGTAAAGACAGGTGTCCCCATACATTTGGCGATATAGTATAAGTAATTTCTTTACTTCAAGGTTCCGTTTATGCTTAAAATTCCCTTAGGATTCCCCTGAAACAGATTCCCCTTAAGGAGAACATGAAAAAGATCACAAATTGAATGGACTCCAAACCGAAATCGAAGTTTAATATATAAATCATACAAAAATAAACTTTCACGGCAGGGCGTAACACTAGTAATGTGCTGACAGTACGGTTTGTTACTGTGAGTCTCTGACTGCCTCGCTGCTCGTTCCAGAAGATGGGTTTGACGTTGCCGGTGGAGTTATCACCCACTGTGTCCCATTTTGAACCTATCCAGGGCACGCCTGAAAGTAACAGCGCTAATTAGTAGTGTCTGTGACTGTAAACTTTTCCATTCTGTATGTTCTACTGGACGGCAATGCTTTGAGTAGTGAGAATATTCGTAGTATGTCCGGGTTTAGTTGGCAGAAAGTTTTCACCAGATATTACAATACAGAGCATCAGTTTGCATCGTGTCGTAAGCTGCTTTCAATTACCACCACACCACCAATGACTTATCAGCAATAATCTTGCTATGCATTTGTTGTACATAGGTTATCTATTCTTAAAACACTGCGATTGGTTGGGATTGCGCTCGTTTCTGTGATGTGATGTGATGTGATAGGCTGATGTGTGAGAGGTGAGAAATGGTGATTGTCTTTGTCAAACTGACAGTACAACTCGTTGAGCTGGTTGGCCAAGGTGACGGAGGGGGGGCCTTGGGGGCTCCTCTTTTTGAAGTTGGTAAGTTGCTGCAAAGCTCCACTCATCCCAGCTGTTGTAACTGGAGAAGTCTCTCTATCCATCTCTTGTAGGCCACTTTGGGATCCTCGATTTCTTTGCTGAACTGCCGTTTTGTATTCCTGTGTTCTTCCTTGTTACCGGTTCCGTAGGCGTGATCCTTTGCAGGTGTGAGGACCCTCAGTGCTTTGGTGAACCGTAGCTTATCATCATCGTATCTGACTGTGACCTTTTTTGGGTGGTACACGTCTTCACAGAAGGAGATGTATGATGTAACAGTGTCGGGAGTTTAGGGGAGGGTCTGTACGTGGCTGACATGTTTAGCAAGTTAAGAAATGTAATATATGTAATATAACTCTGTGTGTGTGTGTGTGTGTGTGTGTGTGTATACACACACACACACTCCCAATGTTATAATGTACGTTACAATTTACATGACGATTGTGAAATTCCAATGTGTGTTTTATAAAGGCAAAACAACTGAATTGTTCCTAATGCATTTCATACGCTGCTAAAAGATATCAGATGCAGACATATTAGAAATATTTTATGATGATAAAAGCTGTTAATGTTTAGCATTTCAGATTAAGCTGGCGGTCATGCATGGCTCTGAGACTGTGATTAAATGTTGGCTGTGTGTATATAAAAATATTTTTGTAGAGTGACTGTCCAGCTGCGATTACGCCTGTGGCACGAGATAATCATTAAATATAAAGTAGTGGTTTTCCATTTGTAAACATGACCTGTAAACAATGGTACTTCTGTTACAGAATGTCCCTGATCTATGCTGTATTTCGTATTGAGGCTTGAAGGACATTTATAGCCAAATTTACAATTTAAAATTTTACCATCCAGTTGCAGAAATGGGTGCTAGAATTGAGATTAACTTGATACATTTTAAAAACCATTTAACCATTTATGAGAGTCATTATTAAACATTATATTATAGTTATCAGCTGCTTTAAATCCTTTGTGTTCATAACCAAGTCTGTCTGGGTGGCTCCGTAGCTGAATGGGCAGCACTGTGGACTCGATTTTCTGGGGTTGTGTGTGCGTGTCTGTGTGTGTGTGCGTATGTCTGTGTGCGTGTGTCTGTCTGTGTTTGTGTGTGTGTGTGTGGGGGGGGGGGTGTATTTACCACCCCACAATATAAACCCCAGTGTTAGAATTTATACATACAATCAAAATATTAAAAATGCCAAAAATCATTAGAATTTTTGGTTAAGGTTAGGGCTGGGTAGGGGTTAAGGTTGTCATAGTTGGAATTAGGGTTTTGCTCATAGCAAAGAAATGGAGAGTCCCCACAAAAATGTACATACCTAATCTGCCTGTGTCTGTGTGTGAAAGTGAGGGAGAGGGAGAGTGAGGGAGGGAGGGAGTGAGGGAGAGTGAGGGAGAGGGATAGTGAGAGGGATAGTGAGAGGGATAGTGAGAGGGAGAGTGAGAGTGAGGGAGAGGGATAGTGAGGGAGAGGGATAGTGAGGGAGAGGGATAGTGAGCAAAGATGAACTTTCATTCCCTCATTGTGTAAATGGTTATAGGAAAGGGTGGATTTTTGAAGGATGATTATATATCCATCCATCCATCCATTCCCCAGCAGAGTGTATTCCAGGCGGCTCACCGCGCAGGTAGGGGTTCACGTTGCACAGGGTGCCAGGTCTCACAGTCGCCCCCTACAGGCAGTTCAGGAAGGCCGCTTGCAGCCTGGCTGCATGTCTTTGCACTGCAGGAGGACACTGGGAGAACATGTGAACCCCAGTCTCCCACAGGAGGGCAGCTGTCTGCCTTGGCTGCTTTACGCTGTAGTATTACCTTTTCCTATGGCAGGGATGATGCGGACCCTGACAGCAACCTCCGCGTCGGCCTCATCCTGCTGGTGTCCTTCTTCCTGGTTATCAGCACTCTCGCCTTCCCAAACGGTATGTTATTCGCAGCCGGTCACACCTGCAGCCTCTGTGTCTCTGCGTGTTGTGTGAAGCCCTGGTGTACTGCTCTGAGGACCTGCCCGCCTTCTCTCCTCTCTCAGGTCCGTTCACTCGACCTCACCCGGCGGTCTGGCGGATGGTCTTTGGTAAGTCTCTCTATGAGCTCCACCAGACGAATCTGTCTCTCTGACTCTTGTGTCCAGTCAGGAATTTAGCAATACCAGTTTATAACACACTAAGCGGTATTTTGCAAACACCGTAGCAGCATGTCCACAGATACAGGTTAGATTTAGTAAGACACAAACGAGACCTAAGTGTTAATAAACGGTATATAACTTCCGCTTTCGCTTCTGTTCACTAAGGGCGCAGCCATCTTGAATTCTGAGGTCGGGGCTGTAGATGTTCCTCCAACTTTCCAAATCGGAAGCCTGTCTATTCGCCCCTCCCTGCCTGGTGGGGGTGCCGTTCAGACTCTGTGGGCTGCTTAAATATCAAAGGAAGATGTGGGCAGGAGATTGCAAGAGGTAGTACTTGCGTTTGGGAGAGCCTAAAGCTCTTTCAACACATGAACTCTGGACGTTGGAGAATCAGGTTCAGATATTTTCTGGAATTGCCCCTCACACATATAGCAGAAAACTGGATATTGTCCATTTAGATGCATACACCCTAATTAGACATACTGTACTCCAGCTTGTTTAGACATGGGGTGGCACTTGGGTTGCACATGCAGGAGGCAGGACATCTCGCAAAAAGTAGGCTGCAGCAATCGCAGCGTTTGGTGTGCAGCATTACTGCCAGAAGTTCCTGAATCTCGTCATCTCTCCAGTTAGCCCTGTTCGTTGGGGTCTTCTTCGTGTAAATGACTCTCCTTCTTCTTTGCCCTTGGTTGTTTGTATTCTGTTTTTCTACCAGTCGCACGATAGAAACGTCATCCACACGCCCCCTCACTTGCTGTGAAGTTTCCAGCTCCATTCACACATGGGGGTCAATCATAAATTACTTTGTGCCAGGAAGGTAGCAAATTCTGTTTAAAGTTTGGTATGACCCTACAGCCCCTCTGGGTAACGCCTGGAAAAGTTCAAGGTGACAGTATGTGTCCGAGTGACGTTATTAATATTACTATCCATCCATCTCTCCATCCATCCATCCATCCATCCATCCATCCGTGAATTGCCACCTTATCGTGGAGGAGGGGTTTGTGTGCCTCCATGATCCTAAGGGCTATGTTGCCGGGGGCGATTGCCCCAGGTAGGGTCTCCCAAGGCATATTGGTATTCCTGTATTCTTCCTTGTTGCCAGTGGGCATATTAAGTGCAATTCAGAGCCCCCCATTGAAGAAAAATAAAACAAGGGACAATGTTACCCCCGCTCTGATTGGGGGGGACCTAGGATTCAGGATTGGGGTGGAAACTCGGGTGTAGCCCAGAGAAATAACATGGGTCCGCCCTCCTGCCTGTGGGCCCACCACCTGCAGGGGGAGCCGTGGGGGTCGGGTGGTATTCGAAGGCAGGGGCCTCAGCGACCGACTCTGACAGGGCAGCACTGTGTAACCCACACGGCAGGAAGTTCAAATCATGAAGTGTGAGAAGCAAAGTGTGAAAAGCATTCTTCCGGAAGGGTGACTAGCCAGACCGCCTGCCTTCCCCGTCAGGTCTGAGTGTCCTGTACTTCCTGTTCCTGGTCTTCCTCATCTTCCTGAACTGGGGTCAGGTGAAGACCTTGATGTACTGGCTGGATCCCGATCTGCGCTACGCCACCCGCGAGGCAGACGTCATGGTGAGCCTCCCCCCCCACCCACTACCTCCACTGCCTACAGGAGACCAGGGGATGGTCGCAGGTGTATGACTGTGTCATTTAGTCTGATCCTTTGCCTTGTAGCCTTTCCAGAAATTTCTCAGCTATGCCTCTGTACCTGTGTCCTCCCAAAGGGATTATAAGCCATTTGAAAAGAGTAGTTAAATAATTGTCATATTTAGTGACGCTTTCAGGCATGTGGACCTCACACATAATGCTCTGTGTGCTGGAGGAATGTACCTCTGTCTTAGCATGGTGAGATTTTAGATGAATGAGAAAAGTACTTCTACACTGACTCCTCATGACATTAAATCACATTAAGAAGGTGAGTTTTGAACCTCCAAGCCTCAGTGCCAGAGTATAATCCCATGAAATATGATTAACATGCATAAAGAGATAATCCAGTTTGGAGGCTGCTCTGTCCTTTTAGACGCCTCTTACGGAAAGTTGGGATTATCAGCTGGCTAACTGTGAACTCTAGGCTGCCCTGTCTACCCTGGTGACTGTTGCCATGGATGAGTAACAGTCTGCTTTTAAGGCTGTTAATCTCCCTGGCTGCCCCCGGTACAGGCAGGTAAATACAGCTGTATAGAACTTCTTACTTTCAAAGGGGAACAGTTGACCACGAGACATATTAGCTTTATCTCATTTTTTGTTGGCTCATCAAAGAAATCAAGTATTGATTTGCATGAGTAGCTCAAAGTTGCCACCTGCAGGTCGAGTGTGTTTCTGCCCTGTTGCCCAAAGCCTTTCATGAACATATTTTACTGGTTAAACTTCTGCAAATGAATACATTTTGTTGAACATTCTCTTCAGTCCCCTATTTAGAATATCATTTAATCATGCCATGTTATAGGGTTGAGGACGGTTGGCCTTGGACCCACCAGTACATTAATGTATGGTCTCTCCTGCTCTTCCTGCAGGAATATGCCGTGAACTGTCATGTGATCACCTGGGAGCGAATCCTGAGCCACTTTGACATCTTTGCCTTTGGTCACTTCTGGGGCTGGGGCATGAAGGCTCTGCTCATTCGCAGCTATGGCCTCTGCTGGACCATCAGCATCACCTGGGAGCTCACCGAGGTACGGAGATCCTGGGGGGCCGAGGGTGGGATCCACAAGGCTGTAGGTCACATCCTTGGGGTCGTGGGCTGGGTAACTACGAAGAGTAGCTCCAGAACTAGAGGGCTAGTTAGGGTAGGAGAAGGAGATTAAAAAAACACTAACTTAATGACCATGACAGTGAGAGCACAAGCTGTGTTAGAAGAGATGTCTGTCATTCTGCAAGAGATTAACAGATGATGTGAGTCCTCACATACTCTACCTTTACATTGCATGCAGACATAATGTGATGTTAAATGCCTGTGCTTTCCTGTGCCCTCTGTTTGTCTGATACCATTAGTTTAGGTTCCAGATTCTGTGTTTGTGTCTGAGTGTGTGTGTGTGTGTGTGTGTGTGTGTGTGTGTGTGTGTGTGTGTGTTTCTGCCAAACGTAACTAAAGGACTGATAAATGAGATGTTGATGTTGCAAGATGCACAATGAGTCATCAGTCCTGTAAAACACACAAAAACACATGCACACGCGCGCACATACACACAAACACACACACACGCGCGCACATACACACACACACACACATACCGACATGGGGGCATTTTCTGCCGCGAACAGCCTGTCTCTGCTGGGCCTTTGCCGGTCAGCCGCTCTCTGGTCAGTCCCATTGACAGAGCTGCAGCTCCTGCTACATTTCCTGCAAGACAGGGACTGGGACAACCCCCCCCCCCCCACAACAGTGCCGGCTGGCTGTTCTTTGTTTCTCTCCGTTCCCTAGCAACAAGGAAGCCTCCATGTCTGACACCTTGCCCACACATGGCAGCGCTTAGCGTGATAACTGAAGCCCCGGCTTCTCCAGAGCACCTCCTCAGGGGAGGGGGCTTTCCAGCTGTCCTCTGACAAACGCTCTATACGTAACGGCAAATCTACAGAATGAGCTAAGCGAGGGGAATTTCCTGGAAACGTCCTGCTTTTGGACCTGTGCCTGTGCGTCCCTCGGCCTGTGTGTCCGTATGTTTGCCCGTTAAAACTGCATGATACCTGTTAAAACTGCATGAAGGAGAGCAGTTTCCAAGGAAACCAGAGGGCCTGGTGGTTTTGTGTTGTGTTTTTTTTTTCCCCCAAACCAGGTCAGCGCAAATCATGCCCTACAGCCAACTTAAATGCAAGCCACGCCCGGCAACTCTAACAAGCCACGCCCCCACGGCACTAACGAAACTTCAAGATTTCTGTCATTGGCTAACAGTATGAGAGCACTGATCCAAATTGTAGCGCTGAATGTATCTCGCAGTCTCGCTTTCATCTTTGATAGATAGATTCTTAAATTTCAGGATGAATAAAGTATGTGAGGGAAAACTGAAATTCTGCCCAACGACGAAGGTTATTTCGGCTAAGAATAACTGTTTGATTAGCAGCAACTAATAATTTTAGCTCAGATATGAAAGATAGGGCTAATAGTTTAATTTGGTTTTTATTATTTTATGATCACTAATAACTAGCTAACCTTAAGCCGAATGGCTTTATTCCTTATCCCACCCAGAACAAACATCTTCTTCTGAAGGATGTTGTTTGTTCTAAGATCTGAGATCATCAAGAGAAGAATTACTCATGCAACCAACATTTATTTATTTAAAGGGCCATTTACAATTCTGACATTGTAATGTCATTGAAAACTAATGTCAGTTTACCTTGGCATGGAAGAGAATTTGATACTGGGGGGGAGGGGCAGCTTAATTTAAACGTCCCCCAATTCCTACACCCCTCTGATCATGTATTATTCCTCACGTCACAAAGAGTCACATCTGTCTATAACCCTGCTGCTAATAACTTCCACATTTGTGTGACACTTCGTATGCACAAGCTGTCGGTTTCGTACAGTTAGCCAGTGAAATCCATCTTGAGGTTTCGGCAGAGTCGCAGGGCGTATAGTTGGCTGCGGGGTGTGGTTTGCGCTGAAACTGGTTTGGGAAAGAAAATGAGGGATTTGGGTTACCAGTCTGCATTCCTTTGGGTGAGCTGGGGCCAGGTTGGGGCCTCCGCTGCCCAGCAGTGGGTGAGTCTTCCTGGGGCCAGATTGAGGCCTCCGCTGCCTGGCAGTGGGTGAGTCTTCCTGGGTCCAGATTTAGGCCTCCACTGCCTGGCAGTGGGTGAGTCTTCCTGGGTCCAGATTTAGGCCTCCACTGCCTGGCAGTGGGTGAGACTTCCTGGGTCCAGATTTAGGCCTCCACTGCCTGGCAGTGGGTGAGACTTCCTGGGTCCAGATTTAGGCCT